GGATGTTACCCTGGCCCAGGTGTGTCCCCAGGTGTGTCCCTCACCTGTCCAGGTATGTCCCAGGTGTGTCCCAGGTGTGTCCCTCCCCTGCCCAGGTGTGTCCCTCATCTGCCCAGTTGTCCCTCACCTGCCCAGGTGTGTCCCTCACCTACCTAAATGTGTCCCTCACCTGTCCCAGGTGTGTCACTCACCCAGGCCGTGGTAGAGGACGTTGCCCTGGCCCAGGTGTGTCCCTCACCTACCCAGATGTGTCCCTCACCTGCCCAGGTGTGTCACTGTCACTCACCCAGGTGTGTACCTCACCTGCCCAGGTGTGTCCCTCACCTACCTAAATGTGTCCCTCACCTGTCCAGGTGTGTCCCTCACCTGTCCCAGGTGTGTCACTCACCCAGGCCGTGGTAGAGGACGTTGCCCTGGCCCAGGTGTGTCCCTCACCTGTCCCAGGTGTGTCACTCACCCAGGCCGTGGTAGAGGACGTTGCCCTGGCCCAGGTGTGTCCCTCACCTACCCAGGTGTGTCCCTCACCTGCCCAGGTGTGTCACTGTCACTCACCCAGGTGTGTACCTCACCTGTCCAGGTGTGTCCCTCACCTACCTAAATGTGTCCCTCACCTGTCCCAGGTGTGTCACTCACCCAGGTGTGTACCTCACCTGTCCAGGTGTGTCCCTCACCTGTCCCAGGTGTGTCCCTCACCTGTCCCAGGTGTGTCACTCACCCAGGCCGTGGTAGAGGACGTTGCCCTGGCCCAGCCCCTCCTCCACCTTCAGCAGCTGCAGCGTCAGACGGGGCCCGATCTGAGACGGGACAGGTGAGACACGACAGGTGGGACAGGGACAGGTGAGACAGGACAGGTGAGACAGGACAGGTGAGACAGGACAGGTGACACGGGGACAGGTGGGACAGGGACAGGTGAGACAGGACAGGTGACACGGGGACAGGTGAGACACGACAGGTGAGACAGGACAGGTGGGACAGGACAGGTGGGACAGGGACAGACGAGACACGACAGGTGAGACAGGACAGGTGGGACAGGGACAGACGAGACAGGACAGGTGAGACACGACAGGTGAGACAGGACAGGTGACACGGGGACAGGTGGGACAGGACAGGTGAGACAGGACAGGTGAGACAGGACAGGTGAGACACGACAGGTGAGACAGGACAGGTGGGACAGGACAGGTGACACATACGGGGACACACAGGTGAGCCAGGGGAGCTGCGGTGGCACCTGGGCACCATCCCCAATGTCCCCATCCCTGTGTGTCCCCAATGTCCCCATGTCCCAGTGTCCCCAGTGTCCCAGTGTCCCCAGTGTCCCCACTGTCCCCAATGTCCCCATGTCCCCTCAGTGTCCCCAGTGTCCCCCAATTCCCCCAGTGTCCCAGTGTCCCCAGTGTCCCCAATGTCCCCA